AGGCATTACGTATGCCCACAGGCCGAAATAAACATCTTACATCCTGTTTTCTCAAAGAGCCACAACAAAAGAAGGTATCTCAGTTAAAAGGAGTCTTTTAATAACCCAAGTCTGATCCAATACCCAAACCCAAGTCTCAGACTTGGGTATCCAATACCCAAACCCAAGTCTTAGACTTGGGTATCCAATACCCAAATCCAAGTCCGAGACTTGGGTACCCAATTCCAAACCCAAGTCCAGACTTGGGTTTGGGTTTGTAACATACCTAGTGTAGAAGGATCAACCTCTCCCTACAAAACAAAACCATTTCGAACTTTGTAACATCAAAGGGAAATGAGAAACCTTGAAAATGCGAAGAGTCCCTTGTTGAGTGCTTAACTCTCGTACCACATGACGTGTAAATTTGAAATTTTTACTGTGAAGTATCTACGGTATGTTCAATATTCGATGGAAGTTTTATAGACATCCGACGTAATTTGGCGAAAATAGATTCCTGACGGAGAGGGATGAATCCCATTTTGCTCTTTTTCTAGAACGTTTGAATCTCTAACCCACGTTATTATTCTTCAGAAGCGTAGCTTGTCTTTAATTTTCTTTTATTCAGAATTGTTCAACAACGATTTTCAAAAAAATGAATTTTATTCTTGTCGTGTTCCTGCTGTTCATTTCAATATGTTATGGGAGTATTGATGATTCATGCCTGGACTGCATATGCCAAGTTGAAAGTGGGTGTCAAGCAATAGGTTGTAGAATGGACCGTGGTTCCCTTTCTTGTGGATATTATCAAATAAAAAACAATTATTATATTGACTGTGGACAACCTGGTAGTGACTGGCATTCATGTGCAAATGATCAATCATGTGCTGAAACATGTGTTCGAAGTTATATGAGTCGTTATGGAACTTATTGTACTGGCGGTCGTACTCCAACATGCCAAGATTATGCTCGAATCCATAATGGAGGCCCCAAAGGATGCACAAATCCGGCAACACTAGATTACTGGCAAAAAGTTCAAAGATGTTACAGTGGCTAGGAGGAAAACTTTTCGTTGTTCTAGTCTAAAAGGATTTTTTGTGTTGTGCTTTTCATTTGGGTCAGATGGGATAATTTCATAATTGGGGTAAGATCAATAGCAATGACAAAGATTGTACCCAAGCAGACAAACATTTGGAAAAACGCGTTTAAACGCTCAAAAGGGAACCGCGATTGTGAGTCAGTAACGCTCATTAAAAAAACGCAAGAAACGCGTTTTTTGCGCAAAATTTTCACTTTC